AAGATAATCATCAACCTACATTAATACCACCACTAAGCAACAGCTTTTAAAACTACTGGACATCTTGCTAGGTATGTAGCCTTTCATGTTTATTTTTTTCTTCCTATTTTCTCTATTTTCCTACTCTTTGCTCTTTATTCTTGTTTCCATAATTTTTCTTTCTCCTTTCACCCTCATTTTAGGTTGAGACAAATTACAAAGAATAAATAGAACTTCAAGGTTCAGACGACACTATTTCCCTTGAAGAGACCATACATGCTCTGAGACCAATTGGTAACATATATATGGATTGCGATAAGAGTTGTACGAGTCCCCCCAATAAAATGATTGTTAAAAAAAGAAATTAATCTCAGAAGTACTATAATCATTGTTTACATGTCAAGACTTCTGAAAAGCAAGGATGTTGAAATTACTAGTGACAAACTGCTAATAGTCAAATTGTGTTACCTTGAGAAAGCTGCATCAAGTGAATATGTAAACTGCCAGGGATAACAGGTTCAGGAAGTTCTTGGAGGAAAAACCTAAGAAGACTAATAGCTGAGGGAACATCTGCTTCCTTAACCAAATCCACCTCTTCTCCATTGTCGTATCTCTGCCGAAGCCACTCCACTGTCTCAGCATTTCCATTGACTTGAAAAAGTCCTTGTTGCTCCAGACCTCCTACATTAGGTCAAGGCAAAAATTAAACAAGCTGCAGTTTTGACTATATGGCCACATATAGTCATTCTCCAATCAACTAAACATTCTCAGACTTCAGGAAAGCCATTCTTGGCTCCCCTTATTTGGTTAAAAACCTTGAAATTACATATCTAGAAATAAACTATCTCTGTCAATGGGGATTTCTAGTGTATCCCGCCCCTTAATAGTCATTAAAAACACTCCTATCACCCCCACTAAAAATGTTCTCAGCTTAGCAACTATAATTTTTAAGTATATGAGTTTGAGTAAAAAATGAACTAAAATGTTTTCAATAGTTTTTTTTCTCATTATATGAATTTGATACTTAAAAAAAAACAAAAACACTTCCAAGGTCAAAAAGGGAAAATTGTGTTTTATTAAAACAAAGGCTAGCCTTCAAAGTAAGGAAATGTATACCATGTTCCTCAATATAGTCCACAACGTGGCGGACTATGAACGGAACCTCATTGTCTGGATGTCCTCCCTGCTGCAGCTCATCAAGTGGAATTCCAAATATTTTGTTAGCAAGAACGGAGTTGCAGTTACTCAAGGAAGGGGAGGAGCTCTTCCTCATATCTTTTTTGCAGCCAGAAATCAAAGCTGTCTTTTCTGCCAAATGAAAGACAAAAAAAAGACTACAATGATTAACAGGTGGCAATATGACTAAATACATTAAAGATAGACGCTTTACACCTGAATGTGTTGCCATCTATTTAAATATCTTCCGATGATCAGGCCTATCGCGTGTTCTACAAATAAAGTTCTACACAATTATTTAAGTATTTCTATACTACGCAGTTACCTTGAATGCTTTTAGTGTTTGCATATTCATGAAACAACACTAGTAAAAACTGATCACCTAAAATTTAGCAAGAGGCATTAAAGTATCAAGGATATACATGTTATGGGATAAATCTGGATTAAAGAGGGTCTCTTTAAACCAAGTTGATTAATGACAGATTAAAAAGCCTAACCTAATCCACCTCTGGACTCTGCTACATGAAGATCATATAACCTCTCAATTCATAATCACTTCTTATAAACGGATAGATTAATAGCCACTTTTTTTAGATAATGGGCTAATAAGAACAGGATTAACCAGTTCTTATTTCTGCATGACAGAGCAGCCAAATACTTTTTTTTATAAACGTTTCCAGTTCTGGACATCAACCTTCAATAAGATTGTCTTTTTATTAACACTATTATCTCATACTTATTCAGAAGAACAATTTCCAGAGCCAGTATAGCTCAGAAAAAAATAAGCTATTTGTCTTAGTTTTATAGAAATTATTATCAGTAAGGAAATAGTGGGAAAAGACAATGTTTATTTCTGTCTAGATGAC